TACATCACCACTCTACCGCTTAGGGCAGCTCCAACAATCGACTTTTAAGTTAACTCTAAGCATTTTTTTATATTTTAATAGAAGAGAGAGAAATTGTAGCTCTTGATCAAGAGCTAAGTTTTTGCGCATATTTTAAGGTAATGCGAGAGTGTCATGTGATGATATCTATGCTAAAAGTTTGTACCATTGGAGAAGTTGTCTTAAAGCTAGTAACTAGTTCTAACCATTGCGGGTGCCGTTAGTGCCTCTTCAATGGGGGCGTTTAGAACCCTAGCTCATTTGGTATTAAAAAAGATTAAAAAAATAAAACAGCCTGACATACGATCTCTATCTCTGTCAAGAAAAGAATACAATTCTAGATGTATTCTTAGTTAAAGTGCTAAACGTTTAACTAAATATGTAGGTAAAAGTATTAATGTTTTCATGCTAAATAAATATATTATAAAAGTATATCTCATAACAAATCTAATAATATTTATTTAATATTGTAACTATTTATATTTTTTAAATATAGTTAGTTGAACTTGGCGTAATTTAACTTGGTATCGTTTCAAAAAAAAAAATTGTATTCTTTAGAGGAAGTACTAGCATAGAAAATCATGTGAAAAATGTGCAAACTTAGCTATTTACGAAGAGTTAGCTTGTTGCTTTTTATCATTCTCTATCTTGAGTATATAAAAGTTCTTGTACGGTGTCTTGAATAACACTTTCATAATCCCATACATTTATCTTACATTATACTTTGCTTTATTTATAGAAATATTATTATCAAAGTTGTACCTCAAAGACTACAAAAACGAAAAAACGTAATATATTTCTTCATGGATGTAATATGAAATTTTGGACTATATGTGATATATGCACTTGTTTTACTACCAAGGAATACAAAAATTAAAATGCCATGTTGGCCAGACAGACCAATAAACAACAGAATTATTTCTGGATGAAATTGCTTGTGCTCAATAAATCGATCAAGGATCTCCAAATTGACACCAACGGTCAGGATGAAAGCTCTGGCACTGTGGCACAGTAGGCTATTATTACATTAGGCAGTAGCTAGAGTGACACTTGTGGCCATGGAGCTCACAAGTTTTCTTTGGTTTCTTGATACTTTATTTGTCCAATTATTGACGAGCCATCTGATGTGATATCAACTGCATTGCGTTGCCCTTGCATTGGTTTCTAGTAGCTCTCTCCTCTCCTAACATTTCTGTTGTGTTCCTAAACATTTGTTTGTTTGTTGTGTGCAGCAGTGTGCTTAACCATGCATATGCATGCATGCATGGCTGCTCCAATTAATCATTCTCACCACCGTACCTGATACGACGCATGGCTTTTCGGCACAAGATTCCAGGGCATGGGTCTTTTCAACCGACCCCGGCCTCCGTGATGAGTGACTGACTGATGTGCATGCATAATGGGGTTCATCAACCTAGGCCCATGTTTAGTTGCCCACGGAATTGGCTGCCGCCGGATTTCCTGTAGCGTACTGTAGCATTTCGTTTGTATTTAGTAATAATTGTCTAATCGTTGACTAATTAGGCTCAAAACGTTCGTCTCGCAAAGTACAACCAAACTGTGCAATTAGTTTTTTATTTCGTCAACATTTAGTACTCCATGTATGTACCGCAAATTTAATGTGACAGAAAAATCTTCTTTTTACATAGTGCCAAAGTTTAGATTTGGGGTGAACTAAACATGGCCTAGGTTTATTTTGGCTTGGTAGAAACTGAAAGAAGTTTAACTGGTTTCGACTTTGAAGTGTGTGTTATTATCGTGCATTCTAACTAACCACATAGGTTTCTCCTCAGTTCGAGTTTAGATTCCTAATTTCTTCGGCTTAATAAAAAATCATCTAGTTCCTCCAACTTCCGTAGTATATACATCTATTTTCCTAACAACAAACATGGGTGAAATAGTGACCATCATCATAACATTAGTATCATGGTAATACAATAGATGTCATGAACCCGGTTTTTGGCAGTCGAATAAACTTTTTCGATCGATTGTTTCTCATTGTTCGTAAGTCTGATACTGTGCAAATCGACACCTCCCATGCTTAATTTAACCATTTGAGCTGAGGTTTAGGCAACAATGAATTCAATCATCTCTGAGTAGATGTTGCACCGGCGGCTTTATAAACTCACGTTTATGTCATAATATGAAAACATTTGCAATAATATTCTTTGAAATTAGCCTTATTAATTACTTACCATGTTAATAATATCTTAAAGAGAGCAATTCAAGTCATGCGAAAAAATAATGAACCCCCCTCCCCCACCCAAAACAAGATTTTTTTTCCTTTCAAAAAGGTAACCTTCAATTGAATCAGTCTACCATCTACTCACCAGCTCCGTATGGTTGAGGGCGAAAAGTCGATGCATGCTACCTGGATTAGCCTTGTTAGGTTGTGTGGATAGATTCACACAAACACACAAGTGTGTTCCTAACTCACTTTTGTTTTGAAGCCATAGCCATGATTTTTCCTCTCCAATTGCACTCCCATTAGGACTAGCCGACTACGTCCGTATATCCCTGCAAGTGACCATGACCAGTAGCTGTCCTGGCCTGCCGGCCAACATGTACACTTGAAACAGGCCCATATGGTGATCTGGTCTCATCAAACCAAAACAGTGGGTGCCCCTGCCCTTGCCCCTGCAAATTGCATGCCTGCTGCCTGCCCAAATTGCTATAAAAAAATATTGCAATGCCCAGGTCCAACTGCATCCAGCAGGTTCCCTCCCAATTCAGGTACTCACATCCAGCCACAGGATTTTTTTTAGACAAAGATCCAGCCACAGGATTACAAGAGATGATATCACAGTGCCGGTGATGGCACTCCTGCTTGTCTCCATGGCTCTGCTTGCATGCACTCTCTAGACACACCAATCATTCTCACAGTCACAACTCACAAAGACAGCCACAAAACCTGCAACTACACAGCAATTAGCATTTATTACTGAGCATAGAAGAGTATGTTCTTCGATGAGAAATTAGCATTTTTTTAGAGTCACAAATCAAGCGCGTAAATTTATCTCTGAACGCTATCTGAGTTAGGTCGCGCTCTCTCCGGTAACCCTGTGACTACCAAGAGAAATTGTAATGAACTATATTATTCCTCCCCTTAATGAAAAACATGTCGAGACACGTTCATGGAAAAAAAAAAACTTATACTGTCCGAATGGTTTTTGAGGCTCGTATGAGTGCTGTGGGTGGGATAGGTGGTAGAGAGGGTTTCACATATACTCAAACTAATGAAATTCGTTTGGCTTGAACCGGTACCAAAATCATGTTAATTTCTGGCATTTTAGCATGCTATAAGTACGAGAATACATGCCATCAACTGGATGTTTTTTCTAGCTTCATCCCTGTTGTCTAGATAATGAAAAAATAAACTCCAGCCTCCACATACTGAGATGCTTTTGGTCGATACTTAAGGCATATTTAGCCATATGTATCTAAGAGCATCTTCAAGAGATTAGCCAAAAAGACTAGCTAAATTTACTGATTTAGCTACTTTCTAAAATAGATTTGACAAAAAAATACTAGAGTACTTCAACAGACTCTGTAAAATCAAAAGGTTGGATGGCTAGTGAGGTAGGTTATCCAAAAATAGAAAACGAATAATGTGGGATGAAGAGTTACTAAATTTGGAGAGTAATTTACATAGTCTATTGGTGATATTTTTCCTTTAGTAATAGCTAAATTTACATTAAGAAAACGATTTAGTACTAAATTTGGAGAGTAATTTACAGAGTCTATTGGTGATATTTTTCCTTTAGTAATAGCTAAATTTACATTAAGAAAACGATTTATTAGCTAAATCGTTTTCTTAATGTAAATTTAGCTATTACTAAAGGAAAAATATCACCATTAGACTCTGTAAATTACTCTCCAAATTTAGTAGCTCTTCATCCCACATCATTCGTTTTCTACTTTTGGATATCCTACCTCACTAGCCATCCAACCTCTTAGTTTTATAGAGTCTGTCGAAGTACTATAGTATTTTTTGTCAAATCTATTTTAGAAAGTAGCTAAATCAGTAAATTTAGCTAGTCTTTTTGGCTAATCTCTTGGAGATGCTCTTAGATACACATGGCTAGTTATTGATTGGAGCTAAAAAATAGCTACTCCCCTGTCCTATAATATAGTATATTCTAGAAATTTTAGGACAAATTAAGAGAGAATATAAAAGACGCATGTACCCTCATTTTATTTCCTAATAATCATACGCTATCGTCAACGTGATTAATGGTGATTAGTTGATAAATGAAAAGTATTTAATGCAAAACTGGTTTTTATCCTCTAGAATGCATTATATTTGAGGACACATTTTGAATGTTAGAATGTACTATATTACAGGACGGAGGGAATATAATTAGCTAGCTCGTTGGCTAGCAACTAGTTGAAGACTCGACTAAAAAATTAGCCCACTTTATTTGCCCTTCTGTTCGATACATTAGAGCTAATTTTGATTAATTTTTAGTTACCTAGCAATTAGTCATCTAATCTAAACAGGTAACAGGAAGGGCAAACCTTCTCATCATAGAATAAATGCCTTACAACCTCAACATCTTCACATTTAGAAAAGTCTATTTCCTAAACCTGGATCATTGATAGCTGCTACTGCTATCAACTATGGAGTACCTGAATTCTAGATAAAACGACTTGTAATTTGGGACGGAGGGAGTGGACATATGGAACAGTAGAAAGGGTTTCTGCTTTCCATCACAAACACAAATCTCAAAGCTGTTTCAGTGGTACCTCTGTTTCCTTGACAAGTGGTTCCATTTTTTTTTCGATATTCATTTCTCTAGGCCACATTTTTATTTGCCCTGCTATAAAAGGAACCTCCATACCACACGCCCTCCCTCGCACTGAACATTCTACAAGCCTCCTCTACCACGCTCTCACACACAAAGGCAGCAGAGCACCTAAAAGCCAAGCCATAGGAGCAAGGCCACGGCAAGCAAGGAAGAAGGCGGCGGCGAAGGCGGCATATGCAGCACATGCTCCCTCTGCTCAACAACATGGAAGCACCTCCCGGCCAGAGCAGCAAGCAGCAGCAGCTGATGAGGACGGTGTCCATCTCCGTGCTGGTGATGTCGCTGCCGGTGCTCTACGTCTCCTTCCTCCACGTCCCGCCGGCCGCCCTCTTCAGGGACACCACCTTCTGGTTCCTCATGTCCAACTCCATCATCATCGTCATCGCCGCCGACTCCGGCATGCTCTTCTTCCGCTCCTCCTCCTCCGCCTCCTCTGCCTCGCCGGACGACGATGACGGCGGCCTCTCCTTCGCCGCCGTCTCTGGCGCCGAGCCGGCGGTGACCGTCTCCGTCGGCATCAAGGACGGCCGCCACGCGCCGTCGACGTTGGGTGGCTCCGACGAGGCGGAGGCGGAGGCCATCAAGGACCAGCCGGGTGTCCCGGAGCACGGAGACCTGGCGGCGGCCATCGCCGAGAGCGACCGCGCGTACCCATTGGTCCCGCGGGAACGTCGTCATGGAGACCGAGTGGCGGCGACCACGCCAGAGACCAGAGACATCATCGTCGTAACCCCGTCCGCAACGAACGTCGACGCCGGCGCAATCGTGCCGGCGGTGGCGACGAGACGGCTGACGGCGAGCCGGAGCCTGGCCGAGAGGGAGGAGAGGCGGCGGCACCAGCGCGCCGGGCACCGGCCGTCGCACTCGCACTCGCAGGCGCTCGTCCCCGTGCAGGACAAGAGCGTGGTGGTCATCAGCGAGGAGAGCCGGCACCTCCGGCGAGCCGCGACGACGGACAGGCGGCCCCCGGCGGCGGAGCAGGAGATTGTTGACGAGAAGGAGAGCGAGTACTCGAGGCTGTCGGACGAGGAGCTCAACCGGCGCGTGGAGGAGTTCATCGCCAGGTTCAACCGGGAGATCAGGCTGCAGCTGGAGAAGGAGGAGCAAGCAGCCGCCGCCTGACGCGACTGACGCCATGCTCGCATGCACAGCAACCAAAGCTTTCGACTTCGATCGAGTCCGTTCTCCGTTCCATGGCGCGCCGTCCGGCCGTCAGTCCTTTGTATAGCAGAGCACACTCCATGTCCGGCCGCCATGTCTGGCTGCTAGGATCTTGCAGATCATCTCTCTTTTCCATGTGTGTGTAGCAGAGCACTCCAAGATGATCGATCTTGTAGCAGAAGAAGATGAGTAGTAGTGAGGATTTTGAATTTTGTAAGAAAGAAGGCGCGCACGCACGCGCGCATGGGAATAAACTAATTAGACAAGATATGCAGCAGAGCAAGAGACAGAGATGGAGAGTTTATTAGAAAATGATCAAGTTTGATTATAAAACTTGATTTATAATCATATTACCTATTGAGTTATAGCTGCAACTTTCTTTCTTTTTTTCTTTTTTTCACAATGGCAAAAAAATATAAAACCACAGACGTCAGGATTTCCGATACGCAGCAGCAGAGATGGATCTTCTTCACTTGTTCAGCAAATCAGTTGAAGATCACATCAGAACAGTACCATTACAGTACTATTTCTGAGCTTCTGACAGCGACAAGATCTCAAGCTTGTGATCTTAATCGACAGGTACGGATTTTTAAAATAATGCCACCGGAGATGAATCTAAATCTCTTATTTTGTATCCATTTAGGTTTTTTTAATTCAGCAAAGACATGAGGAGCATGAATTCTGAAGGGAACAGTGAGACATGCCTGTCATGCACAGTAACTTGGATGCCTAATGGTGATGGTTAGGTTACCATTAGCAGGGTGGTGTAGTGTAGCCTAGCCTGCCAGTGACAGGTGGGGACGGCTTGGAAGTACCACTGTCACTGCGAGTAGATATTTGTTTTGTGAAAACAGGGTTATTGGCTAATCTGTGTAGAGTTTGGTTTTGATATTTCATCACTGTTTGCTGCAGTTCAGTGTTGTGCAAATAGTAGTCTATGTATCATTTTTTAGTTAAGTAATAAATATGCTTATATGATTATTTCTTGTAACTAGTCAATAATTATGAAATATTTGATGTTGGGACATGATGAAACTGAGACTCTTATTTTCAGAAAAAGCTATTTTTTAAACAGAAAAGAGTTGAAATTTATTCATAATTTCCACTAGTTACCAGCTACCTCTAGATACTTAGCAAGCGTAATTATTTTATAATTTGTTGGCATATGATTGATTGCTAGAGAGTCGTAGTAGTTATCCCAAAACCTATGTGGTTACCCAACCGTAATAATCTAGAGAAGAAGGGTTGACATACTGCCACTAGTAACCATTAGCTGTCACGCTATGTGTACCAAATTTAAGCTTGTGTGATTTGAAATACAAGCAGTAATCATTCACTCTCCAGCTTGAATCGAGTTGTACCAAATCATTCACCTCAGTTTTTTATTTGGCAAGTTTGCAAATTTGAGTTGGAAATGTACATCACTGAGTGTTGTGTTACCGTTGAATCCTTGATATGTGTTTAGTTGCTATTGGTCCTGAATTGAGTAAGGATTCAACGGTAACACAACCAGATTGGATACAATTCATATATATTAATAGCTAGCTAGGCGAACCATATCATGTTGAGATCAAAAGGCTGATTTGATGGATCTGTAAAAGCTCAAATGGAAATAATGTTTGCATCATCCCATGCTGCCTAGGAGATAAGGCACACAAGAACCATGCTAGCTAGCTCTTGCAATCTCCATATGTCGAAATTGTTAAAACTAGACACACACATACAAGCAACAAGACGTACAACATGCTTTTGTGTCCATATCTACCTTGACTATCTTCCACAAGAGGCACATCTTTACATTGACCCCATTGCACACTCTCGGTTGTGTGATACATGTCCTACATGATTGGAGCAAGGTAAAAAGGACAAGGCAGTTTAACCTAACAATTAATAACCTGATTTGCTTACCAGGTGGTGATACTTTTTTTGCATTGTTTACTTGGATAAAGGCCCCGTTCGCTTCGCTGAAAAAACAAGCCGAAACACTATTTTGGTTGATTTGTTGTGAAAGAAAAACACTGTTCCGGCTGAAAAAACAAGCTGAAAAATACGGATTATAAGAGAAGCGAACAGGGTCATCAAATTGCACAATTCTTTAGTATATCTTCGAAAAGGGTAAATAAACTGTGCTTCTTTGTTGGAAAAGAAAATGATGCACGGTTCATTGTTTCCTTGCCTGAAACTAACTTGGGATTGAAACAATCTAGAAATCGACACGTCGGGAAATTACTTGGCGCCAATAACGTTAGACTCTTGACGCCACTACTTAACAGCACACACCTGTCTTAACAGTGACTTGCTTTGACAACTAGTAATTGCGTGCTGCTATAACTGGAGCTGTCACTGTTGTACCACGCCCAAATCTGATTAATTACCTGCATACAATGGCAGCATTATATTGGCCAGTAGGGTATATGTGTAGATTGAAAGTTGAAGCTAGCTTATTAGGGGGGGAAAATACACCTCTCAATGCAATGAGATGTTTTCTTATCGGTGTACTGCGATTACATCTTAATGAGTAGTTGATTATCCATTACTCATCCAGCAATTAATCCTTCGTTTTTTTTAACTTTTGGAGAGAACATGTGAAAGTTGGTGCATGTAGATCACCTTAAAATCTTAAAGTTCATATATGGTGTGGTGCAAATATAGGTCCTGTTTTGTAGAGCTTCGGGAGGCTCCGGCTCTGGCTTCTTCGTACACTGTAATGAGAAATCAATTTCTCTCTTTCTCACAATAAACTAGGAGCCGATAAAGTTACTATGTTTGGCTTTACTGGTTCCTCTAGCACCGAAGCTATTTGGAGCGGTACCAAATGGGTCCGTATGCTTGTTTCATCACTTAATTCCATCTAGCTGAAGGAAGGACTCGAATTCAGGAGACCAAACTACTGCCAAGGAGCAACAAATGATCATTCGATTGAGCTCGAAAAATTCTTCTTGGCCAAAGATCCATCACCAAACCAAGCAAATGCAGTGGGCAGGAGCTGAGCATCCACCCCAAATTTACCTCTGTTTAATTTGGAAAAAAACAACAAAACAAAAAGAACAAATTTATAAAAGATGGAATAATTGGCCCCTGGACGGATAGGGTGGCGACACGTGGTGCGCAGCCGGCTGCCTTCCTGTGACAATGTGACTTGACCTGCTGGATGGATGGGAGCGAGGCCGCGAGGCACGAGGCGATAGAGGCGTCGCCAAGTTGGCGTGGCTGGCTGGCTGGCTGGCGGCTGCCATGCCGGGCGGGCATGGCCGCTTGCATGTGTTGGCCCTCGCTTTTCCTGACAAGATCATCCTCAATCACAGAGCCTGGCCATGCCGCCATTGACGGAGACAAACGAACACCACAACGCCTGCACTTTGCATTCCATTTTTTATTGCTGCCAAAGTGCCAAGCTTTGGATCATACTGCGACATACGGGCACACATGGCCTTCATTCGTCCATGCCTGCCTTCCTGAGGTTAGATAGATATTTCTAAAAGCTGTCAAAGGCTCAAAGCTACATGATACTACTAGCCCCGTCTAAAAAAATACGATTCTAGGTTTGGATTGTATCAAACTTTCTGAATTTTAGCTAAATTTATATAAAATATGTTAATATTTACGACTTCGAATAGGTATGCTACGAAAGTATATTTTATGATTAATCTAATATATGATAGTATTTCTTTATAACACTAGATATATGCCCGTGCGTTGCACGGGACTATAATTTTTTGTCCACGTCTATGGCGCCGGCGCCAAAGAGTTTTTTCATGAGCACCCATTAACCTATGTTGCTATAGAATCAGAGCTGCAAGCATTGCTCCTTCCTGGAAACAAGGCACAATTCGCCATGCCTCCCGCATATGAGCCACATAGTAGGATTAGTCTGTGGGGAATGGAGCACTGATGATAGACCGTTCCACTATGCTTCCACTATGCCCGTGCCTAGCACCAGGATCGTCTCTACAAAATTGTAGTGTTTGCTTTTCTTTGTCTTGGACCACCAATACGTGAACCTTCCAAAAAAATTGGATATTTGCCACTGCTGGTGGCTTCGCAAAACTGTCATCGCTTTGCAAAACTGTTGTCGTTATTATTGACATAGCCACTCAGAACATGTGTCTCTTCTATTCCTGCCATTGCACCTTTTTTTCTTATTTTATTTTCTATTTTCCTTATTTTTTCTATTTTCCTTTTTTTATGTACGTGACTGGAGCTTGAAAGGTTGCGTCTAGCGTTTTTTTCTATGGAAGTTCTCACGGCTTTTTTTTACGGATTATTTTTTGTAGGAACGGACTCTCGGGCATTTTTTACGGAGAGGGCGAGGTGGCGGGGCGGTAGACGATACTCTTGCTTAATTTTGTTGAAAGTAGGGAGCGAGACAAAAGCGAAAGATGCAAATGATTCTACGTTGTATTCCCAGTGAACAGCGTGTACATATATACAAGGCCCATGTGGGCGGTACAAGTGTGAAAGAGAGAGAGGGGTGAAAAGACACTCCTTAGATTAATCTCTAATTGATCACTAAATAATAATTCTTAACACTCCCCCTTATCGATTAACTCCTTGTAGTCTTCACTGTTATTCTATTATGCATCTTTATGAATCTTTGGAAAACCTTATGGAAAAACCAAAGTAATACCGGTATACCAGGCAAAACTCCTTAAAACCGGGAAAATAAGAAGAAACACCATCATATACAATCACCAATGTTATTGGACCCTTTGAGATAAACTCAAAGCCTTAGTCTAAAACATCTTGACCATAGGGTCAATATGCTTCAAATATCATCTTTCAAAAAACCCCGGTGGGAAAAAATAGATGATATAGCATATACCTTTGTATTGACATTGCCTCGTCAAAAACTTTATATGAGAAACCATAAATGGAAAACTCACATAAAAAAGAGTGCAATGCATTATATGTCACAATATCACCCTCCAAAAACCCATGTGGGAAAAAATGGATGATATAAC